CAGCTCTGCAGAGCAGATCCTGGCACATGTGACGACTGGCACAGCCCCACCCCAGCAGGGACCTGGAAGGGAGCTGGGCAAACACTGAGGTGTGCAACCCACTGCCAGATGGGCTTGGTGCCACAGCATGGGTCTCTGTGGATGGGGGAGTTCCTGGGTGTGCCCCTCAGAGCCCTGTGATGTCACCACTCAGCATCATTGTGACACCACTCTTGTAACCATAAACAGCAGCCCTGGGTAGTGCCGCAGAGCTCAGACTGCCACACTAGCAGCCGAGGAGCTTCCGAGTGCTGCAGCGTCCGAGGAGCCTGTGTGCTACCGGTGTCCCAGGATTGTCTGAGTGTCGTCAGTGACCAAGGAGCCTGAGTCCTGCCAGTGACAGAGGAGCCTCCAAGTACTCCCAGTGAGTGAGGAGCCTCCAAGTCCTGCCAGTGACCAAGGAACCTCTGAGTGATTCCAGTGAGTGAAGAGGAACCTCCGAGTCCTGCCAGTGAGTGAAAGGGAACCTCCAAGTCCTTCCAGTGACTGAGGAACCTGTGAGTGCTGCCAGTGACCGAGGAGCCTCTGAGTCGCACGAGAGGTCAAGAAACCTCTGAGTGCCACAAGTGGAAGCCAAGCCTTCGAGTCTCGCCAGCAGCTGAGTCAAGTCCGGGAGCAGCAATGGCAGAGGTCAGGCAAGAGCCATCAGCGCCACGACCCGTCAGGTTCTGCCGCATCTGCGTGGATTTCCTCCAAAGGCCCGCTGCCGTGCAGCCCTGCGGGCACGTGTTCTGCCACGCCTGCATCCAGCCCCAGGCTGCCCCCGACGCCAATGCCACCTGCCCGGTCTGCCAAGGGCCCATCGAGTCCATCCGCCTGCTGCAGGGGCAGGAAAACCGTGCCGGGGTGGCCCCGCGTCGGCGCCGCCGCCTCCATCCCTTTGTGGTGCGGTGGAGGCAGCGGCAGCAGCAGGAGGCGCAGGAGGATGCAGCTCCTGGAGGTGGCCGGCGCCGAAGACTCGCCGATGGGGACAGGCCACCGAGCCCCGTGCCTCGCCAGCGTCCCCGGAGAGAGCTGGATGACCTGCAAAGAAACGGGCTGGGGCAGCGTCCGCCGAGGGGTCATGAAGCAATGGCCGCAGGCGACAACCAGCACCGCCCCCCCGTGATCTAATCTGATGAGCAGCCTCCATGGCTGAACTGAAAACCAGGACGCCGAGAAGGGCCTTGCCTGGTTTCTTCTGCCCTTTTGCACATGAATGCAATGTGCAATGGGGGAGTGGGAGTTGTGGGAGGGAAAGCATATAGTTGTAGAAAGTTGGGGAGAGGGTAGGATATTGATAGTGATATTAGCTATAGAATAAAAGTTGTTTTTTTCAAGTTCAAGAATTAAAAAGCAGGCATTCTTTATTACATAGGCTGGACACACGGAAGAATATCTCCTTTAATCTGATGTGTGTGGTGAAACTTCACAACAGGGTATTTATTCCGTCCTGATCATATTCATTACAATGTGCCTCCTAGCTAATACACAAACCACCACTTTCCTAGAACTAATTTCCATGCATTTGCCTTCTACTGAAAGTCCTTTTTTGGTCCTGGAGGTCATCTAAATGGGTGTCTGGTGGTGATATTCACTGAATGCTTCATGTGAAAAACGAGGTTAATATAATTTTTATAGAATTTAAAAGTTTAATAAAAAAGACAATTAGGAGAAAAAAATAAAGTAAGGTATACAAATACAGCCGGGTGTCTCTGCATTCAGCCGAGAGCACACCTTACTAACAAAGGATTGTCCCTTAAAAACAGAACCTTACTACATATCCATAAATTCTCATACATATTCATACATTCTTCTTAGGATCTTTGGTGTTCTTCTGTTTAGTTTTCTCTTGCCCCCTTCCCAATAGATCAATCTTCTTGGCACCATTGAGACTTACATTCCCTGATACCAGAAATGCAATAAATTCCTCCCCCAGAGTTCTGGTCACTGCTGTCTTCATCTGGATAAGATAGTTTACAAATGCAGGAGTTCTCTAGCTATTTTTTTTCCTCAGTCTTTGGGTTATACAAACAAAAGCAGTTTTTATTTTAATACTATGCCATAGCCTAACATATATGTATTATACTACTATTTCTAAATTTCATCAATAACAGAAATAAAGAAAACTATATTAATACAACAAAATTTCTCATTCTTATACACATAACATTCATTTTAATATTTGCAAAAAGCCAACAATATAAAATGTATCTATAACACTTCAATATTACAGGTGACTTTTATTTGAATTTCTTCTTTAGGCATGCACTTTTGTTTTTTGTTACGTAACTTAAATCTCTGTAGTCCTCTTTATCTGTTTCTTCACTGGTTCCAGCTATGTTTATCCTCCTTTGTGTATACCTTTACATCCTTTTATCTTTTTTTTTTTTGCTAGTTAGTCGTAAAGCTCTATTTAGCAACTTGAGGGGAACTGAAAATTTCTATTCTCTGTGTTATTTATCAAGTCCCCCCTTTGCTTAAGACTCTCTTTTAGACAAGTCTCAATGTTCATTTTCCATTACGAAGTGCTACAACAACTGTAACAGTTAATACAAGCAAGTACACACAATGATTAGTGACTGCCACGAATGCATAACAAGACATAAAAACAACCAGTAGCTATGGCAGGAACAACAAAACAGAAGCAGGAACGCAATGACAGCCTTCTCTTGGCTGTCAGGCACCTTCCCCTTCCGTGCAGTTCCGGGCACGGCCGGCAGGGGCGCTGGTGACTCCCGCTGGGCCGGGCAGGGCCGGTGCCGTGATTCCCCCGCGGCTGCAGGGGGCGCTCCGGTGCCAGCTCGGGGAACACGCGGAAATGGTGGCTTGACCGAGACGGGTAGGGATGGAATAAAGATTTCCTTTAAAAAAAGCGGTAGAGGAGATGTATCAAATTCCACAGCTGTAGCGGGGACCACGGGACATCTCGGCATGCAGGGAACGAAGAGCTGTAGTGCAGCGAATGCTCGGAGCAGTCCTGAAGAAGCGGCGGGGACAGGGCAATGGCGACCCGGCTCCGGGCAGAGCAGGGAAAGGCGGGCTCGCCGTCCTGGGGTCTTCCCCTGAGGCACCCGAGAAGGTGGTGAAAAGTCCCTCTTTTAGTGAGGACAGGTGTTGATAAGGTCCCAATGCAACGCTCTTAGGAGCAGAACTTCACTCACGGTAGAAGAAAGGCAGCAGGAGGCAGAACCGCGCAGTGGTGACAAATTCTCCCCACAGCAATCGCAGCTTCTCTCCTCTCCCCTCTTGTATCGAGAACACAAGAGAGGCTGCACCCAACGCCGTTTTCCCAGCCCAAATCTTGAGGTATCTCTGCCCTCCACGAGAAATACCAGGTAAAGAGAGAGTGGCCAGCTGCACCCTCCATTGAGCTGGTAACTTCTGTCGTCTCTCTTAAGTATCCAGTCGTTATTGTGTCCTAGCAACACGTATTGGGGAAAAATCCTAAACAGAAAAAAACCCCCAACCTGTGGATGCTAAATGCAAAAAGAAGGGAACAGAGCCTGTGTGAAAGTAAATCACAGGCTTCTCATTTTAGCCTGAGAAAGCACGAGAAAGAATCCAAACAGTTCTTGGTAAAGGAAAACAATCCTTGCAGGTGGTGTTTAGGAAAACAGTCAAGCGGTGATGTTACACTTAACCAATGATGGTAATGTGTTAGTTTACTAACCAGTAAGAGTTTTACCTTTCTGTACTTTCGTGTATCGGTCTATAAAAGAAGATCTGAAGTAATAAACTTTGCTCTCCTGTTCAACACACAAGAGAGTCTGTGTTGTTCTTCTCACCGTTCCCAATAGAACAACACCACCCCAACTCCTAAGACCCCTAAATGGGCCATTCCTGCTTGCTTCTGTGCCACTTAGCTCATCTCTGAGGGGGCATAGCCGGGAAAGGGAGTGGAAAAGGGAAAATATTTTAAGACTCTGAGCATATTCTAAAGGGACCAGTATCTGCTTTCCTCACGGCCAGGCTGAGATGGAGGTTTTGGGGCAGAACCTTCTCCTCCACTCTCATGGCCCCACAACACCCCCAGGCTGGAGGAGGCAGCCTTGGCCATCGGCTCAAGGACACTGCCTGTGGGAGAAGTGGACTCAGCAGGGATGGACCTCATATTTAGGGAGTTTCCTCTGGAGAAGCCCAGAGCCCTTTCTGCCTCTCCCTTGCAGGGACACCTCCGTCAGCACTAACCTCCTGTCCTACTCTCACCTGCCCCCGTGTAGAGAATGAGTAAAAAGTAAGGACTATTTTTCTTCATTGCCTCTTCGAAGAGTCAAATTTGAAAATTAAAGTGTTACTCTGCCTCTAACAAAAACTTTAGTTCCTGCTGTATTTTGGAAAATAAACCCTGTTTATTAACCCTGCACTCTGTGAACCAGCACTGGACCTATGGTGGTGGTAACTCCTTCCCCTGTGCTTCACGTAATTATTCTTGGCCTTTTCCCACTGTTTTATCTTCTTTACTTTCTCTTTAATGAGAAAACAAATAATGAAATACCGCTTTGGATCCCAAAATTTAACCTCGTTTGTGTTTTAATCTCCCATTTGGATATGTTTAGAATCTAATAATTTCCTCAACTGTGGATCGAGGCAAACTTGCCTCTCCTCCCCTTAAGGGGATCCGGACACCCCAGCACCGGTCTGGACTGGGCGGGCTGTGCTTTGATGGAAGGCTTCTCGTCCCTCGTTTCCCCGCACGCAGGAACTGCCGTGCGACCAGGAAGGTGCGGTCCCGAGGGTGTCCCGGGGTGTCCAGGGCAGGGGTCCCGGGGTGTCCATGGGCTGTTCCGGGGTGTCCAGGACAGGTGTCCCGGGTTGTCCGGGGGCTGTTCCGGAGTGACCCGCGCGCTCCCCTCACGCCGGCCCCGCGCCGGAGCACAGCGCCCCCGTGCGGCTCAGCGCGGCCCCGCCTGCACGCGGCCCGCCACGCCCCTTGGCCGTTAGCCACGCCCCCAGCGCGGAGGCCCTGCGACCCCCCCGCCATGTCGGAGGAGAAGCCCAGTGTGAGGCGGGGAGAGGAGCGGGAGGAGCCGGCGGGAGGGGAGGGGCTGGGATGAGGGAGGGAGCCAGGAGTAGCCTCCTCTCCGCGTCCCGGGGCACGGCAGCCGTGCGGCCCCGCCCGCGGAGGGGTGTCCCGGCAGCGGGGAACCTGAGCAGGGTGTCCGACCCGAGCGGCACCCCGGGGCTCACCCGACCGGGCTCTAAATCCGCCGCATCCTGCACTTTCCCGTCCAGGAAGGCGTGAAAACCGAGAACGAGCACATCGACGTGAAAGTTACCGGGCAGGACGGCTCCGTGGTGCAGTTCAGAATAAAGCGGCACACTCCGTTGAGCAAGCTCATGAAAGTGTACTGCTGCCGGCAGGTAGGCGCGGCCACGGCCCGGGGGCTCCTGCGGCCCCGGGGCGCTCCCACGAGCCCCGGGGAAGCGTCCCCGTGCTGGTGGAAGCCTCGTTGCTTCTCTGCCCGCATCGTGGAACATGCTTGTGGGCAGGGTGAGGGTGTTCAGGTGTGTGGGAGAATGAGGAGCTGGGATGCTGGCAGCTCCTTGGTGCGGAGCTCTTCTCATCGGTGAATGGAAGCCGCCTCTTCCTCCTCAGGTGCTCCCTAGTGTCCCGCGGGATTTACAGAAATTCCTCCGGTTCTGATCCTGTCTCTGAAAAAACTCACTGACCCTCAGTCCTGTCATCTCCAAAAACTTGATCAACTTTGAGCGCATTTGAAAAACGACACAAAATAAATTACACTATGCCACAGCTTCTTCATGGGTTGTTTCCTCCTCCCTTCCTGTGTCTCCTGATGCCTATTGCGCAGTTGTGACCACTGTGTTGCACAGGTGTTCACAGGCTGTTCCTCAGTGCCATCCTGAGCTGAACAGGATGTATCCCCACAGCTCAGTTCCTGATCCTGGAGCTCACAATGCCTCTGCTTTATGCATGCGAATGGCTTTGGAAACAGAGTTGGATTTTGTTTGCCCTTGTCTGTTGCAGGATCCTTTCTTCACTTATTCAGACTCTGCCCTGCTCTGTGCCTGCTGCACCCAAACACCTCTCTGGTTTTTTTGAGAGGTACAGGGACTTTTAGCATTCCTGTGTGTGACAGAAGTGTGAATCATACGGATTTTGAAGGATTTTAGAGGGCAGAGCAAGGCTGTTAATCCCTAATGCAGGGAATAAAGGCATCCTCATGTGATTAAGTTGTCAGAACACAATTCAGTAGTGTGGTAATTCAGGTTGTAAGGGCAACGCAGTTACCAGCATTTGACCATCCTTAGTGTAGACAGCAAGACAGGTGTGCTCAGTGTGTCCTGGTGGTTAAATCTTAATCAGAGAATCACAGAATGGTTTGGGGTTAGAAGGGAATTTAAAGTCCATCTCGTTCCACCCCCTGCCATGGGCAGGGACACCTTCCCCTATCCCAGGCTGTTCCAAGCCCTGTTCAACCTGGCCTTGGACACTTCCAGGGATGGGGCAGCCACAGCTCCTCTGGGTAATCTGTGCCAGGGCCTCACCTCCCTCAAAGGGAAGAATTTCTTCCTAATACCTAATCTAAACCTATTTTCTTGTCATCCCCTTTATCTTTTGAGTGTTAATTTTGTTAACGTGTTCTGACAGTAAATCCATGAATACTTAGTTTGGATTCAGAAGCACAAGTGTGGTTTCTCATATAGAACTTTGAATTTGCAGGGCTTGTCAATGAGGCACATTATGTTCCTGTTTGATGGACAGCCAATTAAAGAAGAAGACACACCTGCACAGGTATGAAAAACACTCTTACTGCAAATTGCTACACAGATATTTGTATGTCTGAGTGATGATCAAAGGGGCTTGAAATCAAAATGATACTGAAATAGTTGCTGTGAGTTTAGCATGTTCCAACAAATTTGTTCAAGGTGACTGATGAAAAGTGTTTCATGTCTTAGTTAATTAAAGTTATTCCTGAAGTGCTGTATTGCTGATTAGGAGCAGGGAGCCAAGTGCTTTCCTCACCACGTGTTTTTCAAGTTTTCTGTATTATTTATAAATTTCATATTTTTAAAATGTTAAAATAATTCCTGTGTTACTCCCACAGCTGGAGATGGAACACGAAGACACGATCGAAGTTTACCAGCAGCAGACAGGCGGAGGGTGCTAAGACACAGCATCTTTTGGAGAACAGTTTGAGGATCCTCATCACACCTCACTCTCTTGTCTGTGTGCACAAGTCAAAATAGTATCTGCAGGGATTGAGCTGTGTCTGAATTTAACCATTTGAAGTTCAGATTGTGTGTTGTCTGTTGTTAGCCTTTTTTTAAAATTTATTGTTTGTATTTTTTTTTTCTTTCTTTAAACTTGTGGTCTAAGCATTCATCCGTGTGTTGGGACACTGAGTGTTCATTCCTGGCTCTGGTTGGTCTTGCTCTTCTGTTTCAACTCAAATTATATAAATAGTTCAATGTATTTTCATGCCAAGTGTGAGTGTAAAAGTTTCCTTTTAAGATGCACCCAAGAGAAGGAACAGAGATACAGGTTTTAAGTTTTTGGTTCATATTAAAAATTTAATCAATCCCTTGGGCAGCATCACACCTTTGACTGGGGCTAGAACACAATACAATGCTTAGAATAGGATTTAAATACTCCAGGTTTACATGTGTTTTTTCATATTATGATAAAGTAGGCCAAAATGTACTTTTTAAATGCAGAAATGGTATTTTTTTTGTCCTGCACTATTGCAGAACTGGAGGTAGCAGGGCAGCTGGTCCAAAAACTTAATGCTTGTGATAGAGTAGCTGTGCTTTTTTGTTGTGCAGCTTTATAAAAATCCCATCACTGAAATTCCAGCTGTTTGCTGAGGGCTGGGTGGCATCTGTCACTTTGCCCTGCTCCCTTGACTCTTTCTCTGTGGGCACTGGAAGTCTGTGGCCTCAGGTTTCTTTTGAATACTTCTTTTTGGTAGATAAATTTGGTAAATGAGGAGGGCAGGGGAAATGCCTCTTAATGTCACCAAACTGTGAAGAAGAGCTAGTAAGTGAGGGGAGACATTTAGGTGTCTTCAAAATAATAATAATAACAATAAACTGTTCTCCTGCCTCTCCAGCCTTACTGAGGTTTAATTATTTGTGTGGTGGTTTGGGTTCCATGAATCCTGTTCCAAAGGATTTTTAACTCGGGTTGTCCCGCTGCTCCACGGAATCATAATCAGCCTTTTTTTTTTTTCCCCATTTCTTCACATTAGCTATGCTCCTGCTTGCTGAAATCTGGCTGGAAAGGCTCCTATTCCCTTTTCCGTGTTGGTGGCTAGCTGGGGTGCGCTATCCCGCGGCTCCCGTTGTGTGTTCCCGGATTTCCACATTAACGTGCCGCCCTTTGCTGTCACCCACAGCAAATCCAGTCTGGGACCGGGCTCCTGCCTCTCGCTCTCTGCGCCCCATCCCGGGGGAAACGTGTGTGGAGGCTGCTCCAGGGAATGCGAAGGGCGTGCCCAGCTACCAACCCCCCCGTGGGGCCTTTTGCGTATTCTCCTGTGTCCTCCCAGCGCAGCGGAGCAGCTGCCCCGCTCCCAGCGCTTCCCACAGGGAATTCCCGGTGCGTTCCCGCACCCCGCTGCACCCGGCGGGAGGACTGAGCGCTACCATAGAGGCGACACCGCGGGATAGAGCGCCGCCCCCACCCCGCCCAGCCGGCGGCCGCTCTGGCCGCGCACCCGGAAGCGGCGGCGGGGCCGCGCCATGGCGGGGACGGCGCTGAAGCGGCTCATGGCCGAGTACAAGCGTGAGTGGAGCTCCCTGGGCCCCTCGCGCTGCCTTCCTGCCGGGATCGCTCCCAAAGGCCGGGAGGACCCGCGGGCCGGGCGGGGCAGGCCAGGCCGCGGGGCAGGCCAGGCCGCGGGCCTCCCGCTGGGCGCCCGGGGCAGCTGCCCGTGTCCCGCCGGCCGCTGTTTCACCTCCTCCCCTCCGCCGGCTGCGGCCGTACAGAGCTCCCGGGGTGGGGGTGAGGGTCAGCGGACGGGTACGGGGCACTGCCGGCTTTCAGGAGGCGGTGGGAAGGGGGACTCCTCTGGGATTCCGTGGCTCCAGGATCTTAGGCAGGGTGAGGCTTCGAACCCTGGGCAAGTGGCCAGTTATTATGATGTTTTTCCCTGTTAAGTTTTCCAGATGGAAGGGAATACAGGTATGGAAATATCTGTTGTGGAGCTCTGTTAAATCAAAGGTAATTAGAGGTGTTTGTCAGGGCAAATACCTTCTGGTTGTGGCTGCCCTATCCTTGGAAGTGTCCAGGGCCAGGTTGGATGGGGCTTGGACTAGCTGGGCTAGTGGAGGGTGTCCCTGTCCATGGGAGGGGGTGGAATGAGATGAGCTTGAAGGTCTCTCCCAACACAAACAATTCTGTAATTCTGTGAAGTCCTTAATGGAAGCAGAGTGGTTAGTAAAAGGATTTAAACTCGAATTTAGTAATGAAAGACATAGACCTGTTTATTTAAAAATTGGTGTGGGATGTGACTACAGGGGGTGGCAAGGAATGATCCTCAGCACAGGGACCAGAGACCTGCTACAGTGGGCTGGGGCCCTCTGGAAATCCCAGTTCTTCTGGGATGGCTCATTTGCTCCCTGGTGAGTTTGAGAGGTGTCCAAAGTTGCCTTTTGTCGGCAAGAAATATTTGTTTACCTAGCTGCTTTTGGGCTTTAAATGCTCTGGCTTTTATTTACGGCAAGGAAGTAGAATGGAGAAAAGAAATGTTGGTGGGCATGGAGGGAGCTGGGCTGTAAATGGGGAGGTGTTTCTGTCATCATTTAGTGGAAGACTCCAGCCTGTGTGAAAGAGAGTATTTATAGACACACATTTTCTGCCAACAGTGTGCCTGTTCTCGGGCTGTTCTGCAGAGCACAGGTCCCTAAGCTGAATTGTCACACAGGTGTTTGGGCAGCCAGGGCTCCCCACCCAGCTTGGGCTGCTGCCACTGACAGCTGGGGGTGGTGAGCTGTGTGGGTGAAGTTTGTGCTGACAGTGTGTCCTAGAAATCTGCATTTTCCCATTGTAATCCAGAGGCAGTGACCTGAAAAACAACCACTGAAAGTCTTGGCACTGTTTCTGTCTTCTCTTATCTATCCCTTAGGTCTCAAAAAAAAGCATTTATGATCCTTTGTTTTTGAGGAGCACAGAGATCTTACTGCAGTGTCTTGTATGAATGAAATCTTTAGGAGAAATGATATTAAATGATCTCAGAAAGATTTTGACTTAATGCCACAGGCAGACGTGAGGTGAATCTTCTCTGCCTAGCTTCCCAGGGTAACACTAGTCGTGAACAGAGATAACCTTTTGTCTGTGATCTGCCTTTACAAGCACTTTCCCATGTCCAATAAAACACAGTATTGGAAAAAAAGGAATGCAACTCACAGTGGCTGACTGCACAGTGCTTTCTGGAAACCTGAGTTGCAGCAGTGCAGTAAGCCAAACATTTTTGTGTTGTGGATTCCCCTCTGCTGCATGTCCAGGTTTGTTATTTTCCTTTAGCACAAACCCCAGAATCAAGCCTGACTTTACAACCTTTCTCTAGTGTTTATCTGAAGACTGGCAATTAATTGTAGCTCTTTAGAAGCTCTTAGCCCTGTAGAGATTTTCAGCAAAAGTTATTTTGAAAAATAAAAAAAGCTCCTGGTTGTAGGTAGTTCTGCTGCTTCTTTTTGCAAAAAGAAAAAAAGCAAGTCCTACCTTGGGACAGGGCTGGAGTCTGAGGTTCAGCTCAGTGTGAAGTTTCTCCCTCCTGATGATGTGTGTTGCTGGTGTGGATGTGGGTGCTATGAGGCCCTGGGTGAATGTGGGAATGGAAATGGTTTTCATGATTCTCCTGACTCCTCTCCTGACTGCTAACCTGGGATGAAATCTTGTATATGTTATGTACAAAGTTGTGGACACAATATTTTTTCTTTACTTTCCCTCTTCTCCTCCATCTCTTCACTTTAGTTACTTCTAGTCATGACAGTGGTGTTTGGCAGGCAGTGCCATGCTGGTGGGTGTATTTTCCTTACCAAACTTCTAATTCTTTCCATTTCTTCCTTTTTCAGTTTTTCTCTTTCATCTTTTTCTGTGCACATGCGCACACACGTTTAAGTCGCAATTTAAAGATTTATTGTTTCCTTCTGTGAAAAATTCTTGACATTGTGAGGAGTGACCTGTTGGAGCTCAGATATATTACTGCATTTTGGGAGAGGCTGTGAAACAGCACTGGTTTTCTTTCCTTTTGAAGAAGGAAGGGAAAGTGGCTGTAGGCATCCAGATGACATAGAATGGGTTTTATATCCTCATTTAGATCTTTTAATGTTTGACTTTTTGCGTTCTCAGATTAACTGTCTACTCTGCCAGAACTAGTTTGGCTAAAGCATAAAAAAAATCAGATGTAAAAAAGGGCATAATTTTTATTTGAGCATGTGTCTGTTGCTAATTCTAGATGTATAATAGTATTAAGGCCTGACCTAAGTCTCTCAGTAGCTTATATCAATTAAGAAATGGAAACCTTCTTTTTTCTGTATTTACTGTTTCTTGATGCCAGATTTGAAGATGTCCTATGCTGGCTGAAATTTCAGGTCTAAAATGGATTACTCTGGGAGAATTAAATCTCTGTAGACCTAAGAATTGTAGTGCCCAATTGTATGCACTGGATTTCCTTCTTGGTATAAACAGACAACAGAGCAGGGGATTGTAATGCCAACAGGTTTCTTTGGAAATGCTGTCAGGTTGAAACTGAGATTTATGTTAATTGTGAGATCTGGGAAATCACAGAAATAATAAACCTTCTGATCCTGGCAGTGCTGCAGTGGATATTTCCCATCCTTACTGCTTGGGGAGAGTTGTGTGGAGTCAGAAGAGAACTGACTGTTTTCAAACATCTCAGTCCAGATGTGTCAGATACTGCAGGGAGCACATGCCCGTGATATTTCTTGAGTCCTAGGTTTTTAATCCCCTTGCAGGTTTGCTAAACAGCTGCAGTTTTTAGGAAACATACTGTTGAACTTATCTTTTAAGGATGATCTTCTCAGTCTCTTCAGTGCTTTAACAAGAAGATGTGTTTTCAGCTCTCCTGAGAACCATCTCCAAGGTGTAATTGGCTGATAATGACTCCACAAAGAGCAATGAAATGAAAAGGAAGGCACTGATTCTGTGTGCAGCAAATCTGCCCCGAATTCCTAATAGAAGCACCACACTTGTCTAGTTATCATCTCTGTTTTAAGCTTACAAGGTTTGGCTCTGCTCCCAGGGAACAAATAGTAAGTTGTACCTGGGGAGGTTCAGATTGGCTGTTGGGGAAAATTTCTACACTGAGTGGGGCTGTTTGGCCTAGCTGGTCTGTCAGAGTCCTGCTGTATGTGATCAGAGCATTGGTTTTAGCCTTTCACTGCTTTCTGCTGCTCATCTATAAAGAATTGGAAACCCTGCTCCCCCCACCAACATTCCATTAAAGTGACCCCATTTTGGAGGCTCTGGTGAGCTGATACTGTGTCAGCTCCTGGTGGTTCATGTTGTACCTCTCTGAAAACTGGGCTTGCAGTTTTCTTTTGAACAACTCTGGAGAAATCACAGGGTAGGATGTCACCATCCCCGTGGAAAAAGGGTTTTTCCTTTCTCAATGATCAGGTGCAGCAGGAGCCGCTCAAAATCAAAGCTCCTGTGCCTCTGAATGCCCAGTTTCTACTTTACCTGATCCTTAAGGATGGAAACCTTTCTTTGAGGAGGGAGCTGATGAAGAAAGTGGAAAATTGAACCTCTGTCCTCATGAAGACCATTTGCTCTGCAGGCTTTGGCTGTTTCTTCCCATTGCCCCTCTTCTCCTTGGAGTGCTGTATGACACAATTCTGTGTGGCTGCCCACCCCGAGGTCTGCTGCCAGCTTTTCCAGGGAAATAAGGTGAAACATCAGAGGGATTTTCTGAGAGAGAACCACAAGATGGAGTGTCGCTAAAGGACACAGAATGATTCACACAAACACATCTCAGTGGCATGACAGGAAAAAGAAGTGACTTTATTTTCTGACTCCAGTATTTATAGATTCTCAACAATGACCAGGGATTGGATAACTAAGTTGCCACCTTCCCAGTCACATTGGTCATGCAAAACGTCCATCAAAAGGTGTTTCTTGGAAGGAAAGTGTAAACAACTTATGTTTATAGTTACTTTCCTGGGAAAGTAACTAAAACTATGAAAACAAGATCAGAAGGTTTAGTTTTCAGGGTGACAGTGGAGCAAAATGATTCCAGGAGCTCTTGCATTTGACATCTCCCCCTTTCTGTCTGAAAACATCAACAAGTAAAGCTATTGGAGACCCACTGTGAAGCTGGAAAAGCCTGCCATGGAATGCCAGGACGTGTGGAAAACTGTAAGGCTGAGTTTCACCCTGCTGCTGGGCTTTGGAACTTCAGAGAGGGCTGTGCCAAGATTAAGGGCACTCTGAGCAAACAGAAGAGTTCCATGATCTCTCCTGGCAATGGATCTCAGCATCTTCTTCGAATTCTGCAGTAAAGGAGCTGTTTGTAGCACTAGCATATAGTTTTCACCTACAGGCTAAACAGAAATTAGGTCTCATTTATTGGTTTGTGAGTTCACATATTCCCTGGGTCAGTGTTCCTGTTTGTTCTCCTGGTGTGAATGCGTGTGGCAGTTCTTGTGGCTCTGTTCTGTGTGTTACTGGCCCCTGGTGTTCCAGAGGCCATTGATTGGGAAAAACTCTGCTGGATAAGCAGTTGGGGGTGTCAGCTCCTGCCACCAGCTCCAGCAGCTGCCCCATGGCTCACTGGAAGCCTTGGGGCTGGTGTTGAGCCCCTGGGACTGCTGGCCCACTGGTTGCCTGTTTGTTGCTGAGCTGTGTCTCAGCTGCTGCTACCTCCCTGCAGAACATCAGAAACTAGAAACTGATTGTCAGTCCAATAGATAGGAGAAAATCTGGTTGTTATTTTATCAGCACATGGTGTACTGGCCTTCACCAGCTTGAAGTAAGGGGCTGATGCCAAAGATCGTTTCATGAATTTGGAATTGTATCAGTTTCCTAGAGAAAGTGAGGACTGATGGATCCAAACTTGCCTGTGCAGCCATGGCTGTTTTGCTGATGCTTCTTTTTTTTTTTAACCCACATTTTCCAGTCCATGCAGGAGGAATTGGATTGAATTTAGGGAGCAGAGCCATTTGTCAAATCTCTCATGTGTCAGCTTCTGTTTTTGTGGTGTTATGGGTTTTGCACTGAGGTGCATCAAACCTGAGTAGATGCAGAGAGGTTACAGGAATACAAACTTCAGGCTGTTACGGTATTTAGCAGATACCACAGAGGTGCAAGAGAACAGTGTTTCCCAAGCTTTGTGAAACGTTTTTGTCTTCCTTCTCAGGTTTAAATTATTGCCTCTGTGAATATGGGGGACTCGATGATCCTAGAGGTCTTCTCCAACCTAAACAATTCCGTGGTCCCAAGGCTAGTTTTAGGAGCCTGAAAAAATCCAAAATGCCAAATAATTTTGTCTAGAACACTGTCCTGCATTAAGCAATGGTGGTGGGGCCCACCATGGCCACTGAAATACCCCCTGAAATGCTTGGGCTTGCAAGTCACCTCAATCTTCCTTGTGTTTCTGTTTTTGCAGAGCTGACCCTGAACCCACCAGAAGGGATTGTGGCAGGTGAGGAGCTGAGCAGGGTTTGTGCACTCTGGAGCTGTAATCTTGCATTCAGGTAGCCCTGAGCATCGTTCTGTTCTATTTCACAGGTCCCATGAATGAAGAGAACTTCTTTGAATGGGAAGCCCTGATCATGTGAGTTATTACTATTTGGTGTGTGAAATCAGCAGTTGCTGTGATGACTTTCTAGGAGAACAAGAATGTAAAAAAGTACGATCAGTTCTGTAGGACATCAGCATTGGCCTGCCTTGGGCTGGAACCTCCTCTGATCCAAATAGGGAGTTACATTTGGACTTTAAACAGAGTGACAGAGGCAGCACTGGTGATGTGTACAACTTATGATAACTTCTTGTACAGGTGTCATAATAATAAGCTTGCAAATTGGTCAGTAATCCTCATTTGGGCTCACTTGGATATATGTTAAATTTACAAACACTGTAGGAAACTAACAGTTGCTTGTAGATCACACATACCTCTTGGAACATTGCCTAACTACAAATGCAGGACAAGTTTTGAGTGGAGCAAAATACACAGGTTATTAGTGACAGGAGGAAAAAATCGATGTCTAAAATTAGTTTACTTTCTATTCAAATTTTTTCTTGAAATACTGGAAGGTTTTTATCAGAAAAAGTATTAAAATTTAAGTAAAAATGCTTTTGGAGTTCTTTACACTTCATGAGTTGGTTGGTGTTGGCAAGAGTTGGGTGCAGTGGTTTTGTGTAGAAAGAGATTCACTCTTCTGTTGGTGAATAGCTCTGACCATGACCTGCTGTGTTTTGGGGGTGCTGAAGACTCCTTTACCAAGCTGTGTTCTTTCTCTTCCACTCCCCAGCTGATGGGTGTGGTTGTTGGTAGCAAAATTTGCCATGAAAAGACAAAATCTTTTTGCCCAACATCTTACAGGTTGTCTTCTCTCTTGTACTCCTACTCATGCTATACCTTCTTTGGGAACTTTGAGTACATGGGATAACTGGTGACTTTTACAAAACAAAGTTCTAAAACGCTGGAGGAGAGGGGAAAAAGACTTTTGTCACTCACATCTGGCAATTCATGCAAATACTGCACAATTAAAAGATGAAAAAGCTCCAGACCACTGAGTCAAACTTTAAGCTGGCGGTCTCTTGTTAGGGTAGATCCTAGCTCTGTACTTGAGGATTCCTTTGGTAAAAATTGGTGATTTCCTTCAGCCAGGGCTGGGCTGTCCTGGAGGACTCTGGGGGCAGCAGGCGGTGGCTGTGGCCCTGCTCGCTCCGTGCCCACTTCGATCTGGGCAGGTTTTCCCTGCAACCACTAGTGCTGACTGATGAGATTCTCAGCTGGTGTGGGTAGCAGAGTTTCCCTAGCTCGGTTTGCTTGGAATGTGTTGTCTAGGGATGAAAAAAGCTTTCTGTCTCTTGGGCTCAGGCGTGCAACCGATACAAAAGCATCGTGAGCCGCAGCGAGTTCCCTATTCCACACAAGCTGGCTGTGTGGGTGATCCTGCTGCATGGCAAGCCAGAGCCCCCGAGTTATTTTAGACCTTGGTGAGTGGAGGTTTGGATTACCACTGCTTGTTTTTGCTCATTGATGGCAAGAGTTGGCAAATGCCTCTGCTTATGTGCAGTGATTTCTTCTGGGATAACAGGTTGTGCTTCCTGGTAGTTCAGTCTCCTAAAAATAAACACTTAGCATGGAAATAGTTTGTTTTGCTGCCTGACACCAGAGATTTTGGCTGCAGGGTCTTATGCATTCTCTGAGAGGCATAGTCAGCACATCTGCTTCGTAATGGGCCAGGTTTCAGGTCAGACAGCTGTGATTGCTGGGAGTGTGGAAATCCCAGAGGGTTTAATGCTCTTCTTGGAACATGGAAGGAAATTCCTGCTTATTGGTACTTCCTCCTAGCAGAGGTGGTGTGGCTGAGTGGAGGTTTCCTGAGAGACACTCAGAAGTACTTCTGAACTGCCTTGAAAATACCTTTTCTGATGTTTTCTGTCACATCCTTATAGAACAGAGGAGCTGCTTGCAGACTTGAAAGCCCTTTAAAGTGCTGAGTGTTGAGCCTGAGGTCTTTGTCAGCGTAAAATGAGAGGTGGAGGTGCTTTAATTTTGGTTTCTGTATTGTGTGTGTGTCATAATAAAGTTATATTTTAAGATCTGCTCAATTTTGAAGCTGTGATACAATGGAAACATGTTTACCCCAAACACATTTGGTTACTTTCATCTCTTTACAAACCTTGTTAGTAGCAGTGTTTGCAGTACCTTTGGAAAGTAAGTTACATTACTTGTTTGTATTTGTCTGGGGTGATCTCCTCCAGTGTTTTGTAATCTCAAATGTGCTGTGTGGGATTCAGGGAATGAGGTGTGCAGATTAAAGCTGCCTACAAATTTTTAGACAGATGAAGTGCAAATACTAAGAAACGTAATTGTGAAAAGAACAGAATACTCTTTTTCCTTCACCCAGTTTATATAAAGCTAGAGCACATTTAATGGCACATAACTTTAAAAAAATAGAGACCTAAGAGAGAAAAGCCATCTCTCATTTATCAGTTCAAAGGTAGGCTGGGTAATGTTACACAGATTGATGTAAGAGCTTGGCTTGGAGATAAAATAATGGATTTTTAAATAATGGAAATAATAATTTTTATCTCCAGTGTTCTTGTCTGCAGCAGCAATGCTGGAAGGATGTGAAGCATATAAATGTTAAGACCATAATAAAATAAAGGAGAGAACATATCTTACACTCCCAAAATGAGTGTGATGGGCACAGAACTGAAAACACCCATGTGAATAAACCTTTCTGAAGACTGGGGGTGCATTGTTGAAAGTCAGATCTTTGCAACATCGTTTCAGGAGAGTTTGCCTTATGTTGCTCAGTTCCCTAGCGCTGTGTGAGGTCCTTCAGGCTGTGTTGTGTTCATGGATTTAACATTTCAAGGCCAAGTTTTGCCCTCTTTGGTTGGCATGTACAAGTGTGTGTTGCTGTTCAGGTTTATCCCCAAAAGACACAAAAGCACACGACGGTTAAGAACTTTATTAGCCTAAAGATTGCTTGAAAACTAAACAGTATAAATTGAAGTCAACTTATCACAAAGCTGTGTAGAAAGGTAATTAGATCTATAATTAGGCTTATGACTTCTGTTTCCATTCCCCTTTTGGGCATCTGATGATTGTGGGGTTTGGTGTTTTTCCAGCATCCTTTTACAAATAAGCCATTTGCAAATTTATATGAAGTTGTGATTATAGAATTAGAATCACGGAATCATTAAGGGTGGAAAAGACCTCTGAGACCATCGAATCCAACCATTCCCCAAGCACAGACAAATCCACCACTAAACCATGTCCCCAAGTGCCACATTCACATGTTTTTTGAATGCTTTCAGGGATGGTGACTCAACCACTGCCCTGGCCAGCCTGTGCCAAGGTTGAACAACCCATTCAGGGAAGAAATTTTTCCCAATATCCAGCCTAAATCTCCCTTGTTGCAACTTGAGGTTGTTTCCTCTTGACCTGTCTCTTATCCTCTGGGAGCAGAGCCTGAGCCCCACCTGGCTGAACTCTCCTGTCAGGGAGTTGTAGACGGATCCCTGAGGAGCCTTTTCTCCAAATTAATCAATTCCCATTAGCTGTCCTCCTCAAGGTCCTTCTCTCTCCTGTTTAGAAGATACCTACCTCTCTTCTCTGCCCCTTGCATGAGTAACAGCCAGCTCCTGGAGGTCAGAGCTTCTCATTTTCATGCTTTGTCTTCTGTCAGCTTTGGAAACACTGCAGAACAGGGGGGTGATTGCAGCAGTTGCCATGCTCTCACCTCCCTGGTCCTGCCAATGTCCTTTGTGAGCTAAAATGATGCTGTCAAGTCCAAATGCTGAGTGTTTTGTAGTTGCAAATGCTGTCTTGGATTAACTTTCATAATTTCTTTGAAGCTGATCCTGGCAGCGCTGAGTGGCTAAAACAAAAGCATTTTGCTCACATAATGCAGGGCTTAAAATGGAGTGTGTTGGGTTGAGTGTATTTGACAGAAGAGCCCTTAAGGCTGTGGGTTTGCTCTCAAAACAGAACATAGACACCCACCAGCTTTTCAATTCCTGTATGTACATACTCTCAGAAGTTCAACAATAAGCCTTTAAAATGCAGATGGAATTAAAATGGTCAGGAAAAAATGCATTCAGTTTACTCTCAGATGTGAATTGAATCCCAACTAAATTTAGGGAAAAGGCCAGAAAGGGAGCAAAGTGGTTGAGACAGTTTAGCTTTCATTCTTGCAGGATGTTGATGCATTTCTTACCTTACCTGCCAGTGTCAATATTCATGTTTAAATCACATAGTTCTTGTATTTAGCAGCCAAGTCTTTTGAATCCCAAAGTTTGTGACAGTCTTCTAGGGCTTTAGGATTTGCTGCTTTCCAACTTTAATGTTCTTTCTGGCTTGGAGAATGTGTATTGGGAGGAGGAGGTATGAATATATTCCTAACCCTTGTTTCCCAGACAGTGAAACCTTTGTTTGAACGGCTTTTTACTAAATACATGAGGTTTCCTTGGTGACAATTTTCAGTGCTGAAGCTTTTTTTGTCATCTTTCCAATCAAGGGAAATCATGGTTGTGTTACAACTTCCAGATGGTTCATCAAGTTTGAATAAATCATGTCTAACAAACTTGTTTTTTGCTCACTTTCCACAAGTGTTTTATGTAGGCAGGGTAAAATAGTTGTCTTTATGTTCTCAACTTGATTGCACTTTGAACTAGATTCTGAACGCAATAAGGAAATGTTTCTACAAGAGCCCTGATGAAGCCATTTGTTCTCCACCTGCACTGGAGGCAGGGCAGACTCAATACCTGAAGTCTGTAAAGACACATTGTTGTCCTGCATCTCTTCTGATAATTAAGGCCTCTGAGCTGTGTTTTTATTTTTACAAACCTTTGCTGTGCTTTCTGCATCAGACAGTGATAAGTGTTTGTGTGGTTGTGCTAGATACTGCTAGTTGGGATCTCTGTGGCATTTATAAATTAATTTTGAGCTCCAGCATTTGACATCTCTGTCTTGTAGAGCATAACAGTATCTTCAAAGGCACAGGAGTCCCACACCTGCCTCTGCTTTCGCTTGACGTGCAGACACTCAAATCCTGGAACATGCCTTGGAGCCAGATACTCCAATTATATCCAGACACACCCTGCTAATTAAACAGTGTTGTGACCTTCCTAGTAATTTAGTGTGCAAGCTTTGATTTCCCCCTTGCCTCCCAAGCCTCATATTTGGATTTAAGTTCATGAGGTGTGGGGTAAGAGCACTTTAACTCTTTGTTTCCTGGAGAAGATGATATAACCCGTGCCTCACACACCTCTATTAGACAAGAATTTGGGGGAAAGAGCTGTTTAAAACTTTGGTGAATAACATTTTATCTGTTTCTAGGGGTCCTGAAGACACCTGTTTTGAGTATGGGGTTTTCCCTGCTATCCTGAGTTTCCCGCTCGATTACCCGTTGAGTCCTCCGAAGATGAGGTTCACGTGTGAGATGTTCCATCCCAACAGTGAGTCTGATGCAGCAGCATGCAGGGGGAGGGGGTTTCTTGTGCAACTTAAAAAGAAACTTTTGCAGCAGGAGAGCTGGCATCCTTCCCAAGGGTGTTTCTCTCCCTTTCCAATCTTGAGCAAGCAGCACAAGCATTCAGCTGCCCAGTGGTTTTGCTCTGTCTTAGGGTCCTTTTCTCTTCATCCCATTATTCCTCATAGAACTTCTTCTTATAAACAGTCCAACAAGGATTCCAGCAAATTACATGCTTTTAAATCTTCTGTACAGGATGTGAGACTTAGTGAAATAATACAGGCTCTTTCCAGAATCATAGAGTATGCTGAGTTTGGAGGGACCCATCAGGATCATGGTGTTCAACCCCTGGCCCTATGCAGGACACCTCAAGAATCCCACCATGTGCCTGAGAGCATTGTCACAACACACCATAAATTCAGTCTTGTTCTATGGCTCCTATATAGGTATTTTGGTGTTATTTTAATGACTGAAAAGTTGTTCGTGGGTGCAGCTTTATTAGGCAGCATGGCTTTTGCCCTGTGAAATCACAGGTTTAACATTTCTGATGGGATCTCTGAAATACAGAGTGCTCTGTCTAAGCAGACAACACATTTACAGGTGTTTAATGTTAAGACTTTGCTGGTCTTTGCTCTGTGATACTGATTGAGTTAGAGATATTCTCCAGCCTTAGTGAATCTGTGATGGTGACAATATTATCTGAAGACTCTTCAGGGGGAGTAATTGCAGTGACAAGATGTACAGCTAACAAGTTTGAGCCCTGGACATAAAAAACACCTTAAAGCCTCTGTTTGCAGCTTGAACTGCTACTGTCTGGAATCAGCCTTGGAATTCTGTGTAAAATCATTGCTTTCGACATCTGATGAATCAACATGGATTCTGCAGAGGTTGTTTATTACTACCCAGGTTTGGTGGGCTGGATCTGTGTTCAGGCTCTCAGGTCTCTGACTCTCAAGAGCAGGAAAAGGCACTTGCTGTGCTCCTGCCTAGTGCTTCCTTCAGCTGACATTCTTGCACTTGGAAAGCACAGGTTATAATCTCAGCTGGGAAGAGATTTATTTCACTCTATATACAAGGAATTCTGCCATTTCTTGAAGTTTCTCGGTTATTCCCTTCTGGAAGCACCACTTGTGCAGGTTCTTGCCCATTTAATCCACATCTTTCTGTTCTCCTGTGGAAGAGACACCTGCACAGAACTGTGGATGTGCCCAAGGCAGTGTAGCATCACCTCTGGAGCTCTGATGTCCACAACTTTGGCACTTGGAAGCAGCGTAGCCATGTCAGCACCTTGCTCCAGCTGGACTAATTTACCCAAACTTCTTGCCAGGACTGGTGTCTGTGAGCAAATCCTTGTCCCTGCAGTTCCAGCTGTGGCCTTGGCTTGAGGTTCACTGCTTGCAGCTGTGTTGCATGCAGCACTGCCAGGAGGAGTGGGGTGTGGAGAAGCACAAGTTGCCTGATTCCTCTGTTAAAGAGTGGCTTTACACATGGGTGTTTCTTCCATGGGATAATTTGAACACACTGGATGGTCAGCTCTGCTCTTTAAAGCCCTGTGACTTGCAGTCTTCTTAAGTTGAAGCTGAGATCACCTGAAGTAGATATTGAATCTTTCTTCTCAGCTGGGGTTCTGCTTCTACCCAGAAAGGCTGCAGAAAGGGGTGGCTGGGCTGTGCTTTTTCTGTTTATTCCTCCCCCTGTGAAAAAGGAAAATGTTTAAAAAGTCTGGTGTGTCCCCTCATCTTTGCAGCTTATATGTGGAGGGGAGTTGAGATACCACAGGACTGTGTTCTCTTACATTAAAATGACCTCCTTGGATACTTTGGCAAAAGTAACTGGGTAGTGATCAATGGCATTGCTTGCACTGGCACTGAGCATCAATGTGGGGAGATGACAGGATCACAGATGGTTTGGGAAGGATTGTTGGAAGGGACATTAAAACCCATCTTGTTCCACCCCCTGCCATGGACAAGGACACATCCCACTAGCCCAGGTTGCTCCAAGCCCTGTCCAGCCTGGTCTTGGACACTTGCAGGGATGGGGCAGCCACAGCTTCTCCAGGCAGTCTGTGCCAGGTTCCCACCACTCTCTCAGGGAACAATTCCTTCCACACCCTCTGGCAGTGTCCAGCTATTGCCCTTTGTCCCAAGTCCTTCTCCAGCTCTCTTGGAGCCCCTTTAGGCACTGGAAGGGGTTCTGAAGTCTCCCTGGAGCTTTCTCTTCTCCAGGCTGAGCGCTCCCAGCTCTCCCAGCCTGTTTCCAGAGCATCTCTCTAGCCTCCTTTGAACTTGTTCCAGCAGCTCCACGTCCTTAGGTTGGGGGCCCCACAGCTGGACAGGGGCAGGTCTCACCTGAACAGAGGGATTGAAGATCCATACGTCTTCCTGGAATCAGCCTTTGATGTCTTGACTGTGCTGCTGTGTTCCAGCTGTTTTAAATGAGGCACTGCACAGAAACAGGAGACTCCCTCACCAGTGAAATCTCTTCTACCAGTGGGTTCCTGACTTGCAAGAAGTGCTGATTCAGCATCTGCTGTTCTCACCTCTGCCAGCTATGATTAGACCAGCTCCAGTCCCCAGCCTGGGGCTGCAGGAAGGACTGTAAATAAAAGTCCTCCACAGTGCTTACGTGCTTGGGCAGACATAGCTGGGTGAATGGAAGGAGCTGGAAGGAGCACAGCTGTTTCCAGCAGTCATTCCCACCTTGTTTTGTCTTGCTTTCCTGGCAATGGCACCAGTTTGGTCACCTGAGGAATAGCAGCCCTGAAATTATTTCACTAAAGTTTTCATTCCTCAGCAGCCTGCCACACAGGAGAATTAGGCCATGTTGGTAGAGCAGTGTTTTCTTTTGTGGTGCCTCTTCAACCTTTGGTTTCATTACCAAGTCAGTAGAGTCCAGTTTCTGTGAAGACAACTTGTACTGCTGCAGACACTGTGCTAAAGGTGGGAGGGGAAGCACCTGGATCCTTAATTCATAGGTTTCCTTGTTTCCAGGTGCTTTAATGCAGCTGAGCTTTAAGAAAAAAAAAAAGGAAAAAAAAAGAGAATTCTTCTGATTGCACCTCAGTAATGTTCAAAAAAAGATCAGTTCTACTGCTCATAATATATTTAACATAACACTTAATTTTTTTCTCATGTTTATGATATATATAAAACATAACAATTTTCTCTCCTTTGTGTAATCCTTTTCATGGTCACAGTCCAGTGGAGGACTCCAATGTGCATTCAGTGCACTCATTTCCATTTAAGTAGGACTGGTTACCTGCTTGGAGCTGTGTCTGTGCCTAAGTTCTTGCTTTATTCTACCAGGCTGCATTGTTCATTTTTAGCCTGTCACTGATTATTAAATGACACAAGTGCTCCCAGCAGGTTTCTGCTGGGGAAGGAGTTTGTTAGATTTGCTTAAAGAAGATTTGTCCTAGGTTTTTGTCTTTCAGATTTTGTGTCCTCTTGCCTAAAGAGGAAATTTAAACCTGGATTTAGTTTTAATCATAGAAAAGCCAAGTCTCAAGGCTGATCTGGAGATGCTGAGCATTTCCACTAAGTAACAACCAATCCTCTGTATTTTTTGTGCAGTTTATCCAGATGGGAGAGTCTGCATCTCTATCCTTCATGCTCCTGGGGATGATCCCATGGGATACGAGAGCAGCGCGGAGCGGTGGAGCCCTGTGCAGAGTGTGGAGAAGATACTCTTGTCAGTCGTTAGCATGCTGGCAGGTGAGCACTGACTCCTGTCAGCCTTTCCTGAGTGAGCTGGAGCTGCCTCTTGCTCTTTGTTCACTAAGCAAAGCACATGGAAAGCTGCTCAGCAGCAACCACAGCTCTTAAAGCCCTGGTATTTATTAGTAAACCAGTGCTCTGAGAAGGGTTGGTAAAAATGCAGCTGAATTAGTAACAGGTGTTCATGTTTGGGGGTTACTGCAAGGCTTTCTGTCCAGGTTGGTAGCAACTGAGACAGTAGTGATGGGTCAGGTGGTCCCAGAGGCTCAGCTGGTTCCTTTGCTGCTGGACAAAGCCCTCTCTGTATTTGCTATGCTGTCCGTTCAGCTTTTAAAGCTGTGGATTACAGCCTGTGTTGGATTTGGCTTTGGCAGCTGAGGGATTATCAAAACTAACCAGTACAGTAAACTGGAGTCCATGGCCTCTGGTTTAGAAGCCAGCACACTATGTTTCTCTTTGTTATTCCTAGCCTGAGAATGTGTCCCACTCTGCCATCTCTGGTTCAAAGGAAGGCTTCTTGAGAAGAGACCTGGGGCAAAAAACTTTTTGTGAAGACTTTCAAAGGGTTTTCCCTAAATCTGACAAGAACTGTGGATCAGCTCTGTCATGTACAGCTCTCTGAAAGATGAATCATTTTCCACACAGTGGACAGAGCCACTGAACTGCCTGAAGAGGGCAGAGTCATGTCCCTTAGAACTGGTTTTGAAGGATAAATGGGTTTAGAAGCTGCAAAGTTGACCAAAGAGCAAGCAACGGATTCCTACATGGGACTGTTTTAGCTTTGGAATAGTAACCTGCAGTTGGGAAGCTGTGCAGACAAATAGTACCCATGGGATTCCTGTGGCTTCCAAGAGCTTGGTTTGTGGTGCAGCCTCACTTGGATTGGGAAGTGTGGGAGTCACGTGGACTTGTTCTCTGCCTGTGCATCCTGTTTTCCCATGGCTTTTGGAGGAATTAGGCTAAAACACCAGTGGTCAGCTTCTTTCAGGGTACTGGAAAACTCTCAGCCCTGGCTCTGCAGGTAGTGTAAGGCCAGGTTCACCAGGCTGGGTGACCTGCACACCTGCTGGTTTTTAAGGTGGACCATCATGGTCATGTGAAGAAGGATTGGAGCCTGAGATACTGCCATAAACTGGGCCAGGGTGGGTGTGGACCGGTGTGTCAGTGGAAGTGAGCAGAGTATGTTAGTGCCTTCTGGAATCCCAGGACAGTGTCCTGCTGTATGCTGCCCACAGACCTGATAAATCCTGGGTCTCAACTCCATACAAAATGGGGAGCCCCTGGGACTTCAGGACTCCATGTGGCTTCGTAAAGCGTTCTGAAATCATCAGATGAAAGATGTTGCAGAAATGAAAGCATGTTCTATGGGTTTCCTTGGATTGTTTTGTTGGGTTTTAGTACAACAAGCCATCCCAACAAGTGACAGCCTGTTTGGGTGGCCTGCTTGGAGGGGCTTTGTGTCTGGGAGGCTGGAGAACAGGAAAAAAAAGGTTCTGCAGGGAAAAACATGTGGTTTTAAAAGCCCTTGACAGTACTGGGGGTGCCACATTGTGTTGGCCACGTGCATGGTGGGGCTCCACTGCTGAAAGCACAAACAAAATAAAGTCCTGCTCCTGTGCCATTTGTTCCTTGCCTAAACTCGAGTTTGTTGTGATATCCTTTCTCTTGTGGTCAGTTAAATCAGAGTCTTTTGGGAATCCAGGAGCTGTCATTGGATTTGCTTTAGTGCTGTTTCTGCAGTCTCCAGGAGAAGAAGTGTTTCAAAGCCTTGGGGAAGTGACATTCTTGAAGAAGCAAGAAGCTCCATTGCCCACATACGTTTGTGTTTCTTGTTTCAGAGCCAAATGATGAAAGTGGAGCCAATGTAGATGCCTCCAAGATGTGGCGGGAAGACAGAGAACAATTCAACAAAATTGCCAAGCAGATTGTGCAGAAGTCACTCGGACTTTAAGCTCACAGAGAGACTGAAGTGTTTTGTATTTCTCTCCACCTGGAAATGAGCAGTGCTCAGTGCTGGTACCAAAAAGGAAAACTTTGTAAAACTATTGGCCTAGTTCTTATGATTTGTTATTTATTTACCATCTCTTCTCTTCCACTGCTCCAGAGAAGCCTCTAGTTCACTCACTAAATTGTGTGGAAAAGGGATTTAATGGTACAGAAAAATACAGAGACAATGCTGTTTCAAAGTCTGCTTGTTGCTACCTTACTTTGTGGTATGGAAAGCCTGGAGACTTGGCAATCTGCAGCCCTCCCTCACCCATCTGCTGCTGGAGAGCAGTGCTGGTTTGGATCATCTGCTGGCAGAATTAGCTGTGTTTTTATAGGTAGCATTGCATCTGGAGAAGCAGTAGACAGGAATTACTCTATCCACTCTGTACTTGTTAGGTTAAGGGCAGCATTGCAGTCAGATCTGATTTGAAGATTGTAGTTAGCAGGAGGGGCTGTAAAGCAGGGCTGTAGTCAGGGATTGTTAGCAAGGAAAGGAACTTTAGGGAGTGAGCTGTGAGGACTGGCTGGGGATCTGGAATAGCCTGGTGTTCCCATGTAATGCTGTGAGTTTGTGCTGAGCCTTTGAGTCAGTGTTGGCTTGGCAGAAATCCCAAGAGCTGCTTTATTAGTCCTTGAAGGCACTCTGTAAGCTTTACACTCAGAGGCACAAGGTAAAAAGACTGGATTGTCCAACTTCCTGGCTGAGGTAGGCCATTGGCATTTGGAAAATCCAGTGAGGATGTGTTTGCTCTGCTGGGCATGTTCATAGCTCTGCAGAAATATCAGCTTGCTCCGGTGACACCTGGGTGTTGAGAGGATCTGGCACTGCTTGCCATTACAACCCTGTTACCCATTTTCAGGTGAACGAGCCAAGATGAGCGTGACAGACTTATAAAAATGACCTGTGACCCTCTACACTGAGTGCTCTTGTGTATTAAATAGGAGCCAGAAAGGATGAGTTGTTTGCTGAGGACGGTAGGACATGTTTTGGACTGCAGTGTAGTAGCCAGTGTGAAGGGTGCAGGAAATACCAGCTGGTCACTTCCTAAAACTGCTGAGGGGCCTCTGCGGACCTTTCTGCTTTGCAAGCCAAAATGTGTAGGTCCAAATTTCTCCAATTTACTACAAGCAATAACATGCCCATTGATAGCACATGGAATCCAATTTTGTTGGCAGCTTTAAACGGGCTAAATTTGACAAGGGCTGTTTTTGTTTTTTTTTTTTAATGTGAAAAATGAGTGGAAGGAGTCACACCGTGAAGAAATCTTTACAGAGGTGATCGTGTGCATGTGCGTGGTACAAGTGTTCAGCATTTCTGTCTTGCTGTCTGTGCTGCAGGTCGCACTTTGCCATGGTTCTGCACCTCTGAAGAGTTGTATTGCTACAACCTGCTCATTTTACCTCCTTGTAGAAGTAATTGTGGCTTTGATGTCAGGGTGGAAGTGGGACTGGACATAGCTTGGGAGCAGAGATGATGAAACAGTGTCGTACCTAACTAGTATTTCAAGGCATACAGGAAAATGTAGCACTTTATGCAAACTGGGAGTGTTTTGTTGGAGTAGAGGGAGGAATCCTCCTGGGAGCACTGCAGCCACCTTCGGGAACAACGCCGGAGAGCCGTGAGAGCCACTGCAGAAACAGACACGGCAAAAGTGGGGTTTGCTTAAGTGCTGAGTGTTTTATTCATGTGTGCTTGCTCATTATCTTGATTTTATGGTGGGATTTAGTCTGTATACTGAAAATAAAGTGATTATATTTTCTCCTTTTTATAGTTGTACACAAATGTATTGCAGTGGGTGTTGTATATGAGTAACTGCATGGCCAAGAGACTTGCTCCAAAGGAGTGGAAGGGTTCATTCTAACCCAGTTAAAACGTGCCATACTTTAGGAGTGAAAGAGCTGACATAATTGCATGGACTTTCTGGGCAAATGTCTTGTCTCTAATGCTGGCACTGGCTGGGTAATTCAAAGAAAGTTATAAAAATCTGATGGTGGGCAGGTGTGGTGTAGTTTGCTCCTTACGAACATCGTTACATCCGCATTTCTGGCCTAGGAAGTTGTTGTGAGCGTACAACAGCTGAATTAATTCAGAATGTGCTGGTACCAGCACTTGGATTTGAGGAGGACACATCGATCATAGAATCACTGAATGGTTTGGATGGGAACAGACTTTAAAGACCATCTAGTTCCAACCTCCTGCCATGGACAGGGACAACTTCCACTCAAGAAGGTTTCTCGGATGCCCAGTTCCTACTCAGAGTTTCCATAGTCCCCAAATCTCTTTCCTAAAAGTAAAACTTTTTTTTTTAAGTGACTGACATGCATTAGGCTTGCTGATGGGTATTTGAAGCCACCCAGTGCCCATATCTACCTCTCAGTCTTAAAGGTGACAAAATGTAGGCAGAAGTTCACCTCAAAGGACTAAAACTTGGTCTCGAGGTGGGAACTGTCCTAGCTGGTGGCTGTTTACTCAGCTGAAGCCAGTGGGTGAGCTTTTGTGTTCATCAAAAGAAATTAGTTGTTCATTGTGTTCATTTAGGAAGAAATTGTTCCCTGTGAGGGAGGTGAGGCCCTGGCACAGGGTGCCCAGAGAAGCTGTGGCTGCCCCTGGATCCCTGGAAGTGTCCAAGGCCAGGTTGGACAGGGCTTGGAGCAGCCTGGGGTAGTGGAAGGTGTCCCTGCCCATGGCTGAAGGTCCCTTCTAACCCAAACCATTCTGGGATTCTACTAAAGGTTTAAGTGTGGCAGTGTGGCTGGCATGTTAGATTCCCTGTTTCTATTTGCCAAAAAGAACTAAAACTTCTTAATTTTGCAACAAACTGAATCCTTGCATAGAGCATGAGGATTCACCTCACACAGCAGAGGTGTGTGGGCTTCTGCTGTGATGGGCTGAGAGGCCCTCATGGCACAGACACCTTCCTGCAGGTGGGGAACACCTGAAGGTTAAAGCTTGTAAAGCTGGTGTGTAGCTCCTGGGATAGACTTCCCTAAAAGACTATTGTGTCCCTGAATGAACACTCATGTTGGCAGGATATGCAGTACTGGCAAGTAGCAATGTTTTTTCTGAGCAGTTGTCTTTTTTCAGGCTGAAACACTTACTATTAAAAACGTTCCTTGGGGAATGTCAGAGCTCTACAGGTGTTATGCATGTAGTATTAAAGATTTTTTTAAAAATACTATTCTCTGGATCATATTTGCTTTAGGCTTTTATATTAAAAAAAGAACCCAAACCAAACCCTTCAACAAAGCTATAAAAATGCAAGCAACGTCCTCTTTAAAGTCTTTGTATATACACACATCCACACACGCTCACTGTTGTTTTTCCTTGGCAGAGGGGCTGTGTCAGAACACACACAGTGGGCTGGGAGACATCCATTAACTGGGTTGGTGTGTCTTTGAAAGTGTGAGAGGCGTTGGAGCCACATGAAACGGCTGCAGCTTGGGGGCAGAGCGAGCCCCGGGCTCCCTGCCAGCTTTTTTTTGCCTTTCTGGAGCGGTATCTCGAATGGAAGGTGGTGTTGTGCATTGGGATGGATGCAGCAGGGAAGCTGTGTGCCTTGGTGCCCTCCTGAAGCTGTGCCGTGGTGAGGATGCCCTGTGTGATTGAGCCCTGTGAGAATGGAAAGGAGAAGCAGCACGGATCTGAAATGTCCCTTCCCAGCGCCAGCCGTGCTGCTGATACTGGAATTGTCTCGGATGTGGGATTGCAGCAGCCTCCCCTGTCCTGTGGTGTGGGACTAAGCCAGGGCAGGGGCAGGGACAGAGGCTGAACATGGGAGGTCCTAACAGTGCCCTGGCAAAGGCAGCAAGGGTCACATGTCCCATGTGCCTTCCCTTCCAAATTTCCCTGACTCGGGGGAAGAAGAAAATCTCTGTGCTTCAGGAAGCTCAAAGGCAGGAGGAGTGTGAGGAAAGGGATGCTGGGGGTCTTGCTGCCAGCTGGAGATAGGGCTGGGGGTAGCACAGGAAGGAGAAGGCACAGGAATCTGGAGAATTCCTCTAGCATCTGAGGGCCTGAGCTGCCAGCCCCAGCGAGGGCTCCTGATGTCCCCTCTCCTGCTGCCAGGTGCCACCTGATGTCTTGGGCACCAAAAGTGCTGTGCCAGGCTCCCTGGTGCTGCAGGGATGAACTCCTCCATCACTGAGGAGGGAATTGTCCAAGCCATTTAACATTTGGTGGTCCTGCTTGGTGCTCTCATGGCCCCATGGGAATGTGGGAGCTGGGAGGTCTGTGCCGTCCCTGCGACTCCAGTCCTGGTGATCTTCCTGCCTACCCCAGCCTGCTCCGATGGGTCTTCTCCCAGGGTGTAAGAGCCCCAGGAGAGCCAGCCAGGTGGCTTTTGAAGGGGGCTCACACCCCCTGAGATGGGACTGGGCAATAGGTAAGATGATGGGGTGTGTTAATAGATAATTGATGGCAGCGACATGGCTGTGGGTTATTACAGGGGAGCCGCCCGTGTGAGCAGTGTGTGTGTGAGAGTTCTTGGGAGGGATTTGGGAGTGGGTCTGTCTGGTCATGTCCCTGGCATGAGCCAAGTCCTGGCCTGAGTCCCCTTCTTCTGTGCATGGGGCATCCTGTGTGGGGGATGAGGCTGTGTCCTGGGACAGAGCTCGCTGAGGAGTGAGGGCAAATGCCCCCACTGTGGCCAGGGGTGCAGGGGACACAGGAGGTGGGTTCAAAGAAGCAGAAATGCAGGATGCAACACGCACCCATGTGCTTGGGTGCAGAGCCCAGCATGGGGAGGCTCTCCACCCACAGCTGTGATGGAAGTTTGGGCCCAAAACACTTTTCCCCATGCCAAAATAATTTGGCAGATTGAACCCAGCTGGAGTGGCATGGGGATGTTGAATGAATTGGGTTTTCTTTGCTAAGTCTGCCTAGGATGGGCTCACACAGACCCCTCTCCTGGTGTGGTGCTTCATCAGGATCCCTGTCTTCTTCTATCAGACAGAGGAAGACCCCTCAGAGATCAGACACAGTCCCAGTCAGATCCCTCCAAGCTTGGTCAGCAGCTCAGGTGCTGGAGGATCTCCCTCTGTGAGACAGGTGTGTTAGAGACATGCCCCAATCTTAAATTGAACAGCAGAGCTCATGCTTTGCTTCCCCTTGCCATTCATCCTTCTGGGAGCTAGGAAATGATGAAATACCGAGTATATTGGATCAGGTGAACTTGTTCTGAAGCAAAAACCTCTGTGGGTGGAGATCCTTCCTTGGTATCTAATAGGCTTGCTGCATGGGTGGCTCCAGAGGGGCCTCGCTCAGCCAGAGCTCGGCTTTTCTTACCAGTTCTTGTCAATGGAGGATGCCAGACAGGCAGGCCGGAGTCCAGGTGTTTTCAAACTCACTTTGTCTGGAGAGGCAGTTTGAGCTTTGTCCTTGGCCAGATCCTGCTTTGATATGGGATCTTCTTGGAGCCTAAGCATGGCCTTGGTGGGAGGGCTGGGGTTTGTGGGCTGTAGGAAGCTCCTAAGGCTCTATAGGAAGTGTGGCTTTACAAAAACATCAGTATTATTGGAGAAGCCACTTGTCCAAAGTGTCCTCATCCAGCCTCACTTAGCATTTGAAACTTTCAGCATCTGTCCCTGGAACACCCAGTCAGTGACCAGGGGGCATTTTATTTATTTTATCCATTCATCCCCATCCAACAAGACTCATAGGTTGAATTTTCTCTCACATATTAGACGCCTTTTTTCCTCAGAGAAGAAGCTGTGGCTGCCCCATCCCTGGAAGTGTCCAAGGCCAGGTTAAACAAGGTGTAGAGCAACCTGGGATAGTGGAAGGTGTCCCTGCCCATGGCAGGAGGTAGAATGAGATGGGCTTTAGGGTCTCTTCCAACCCAAATCCCAACAGGGATTCTTCTGTAGGTGCTTCTGTTCCCCCTTGGAGACCCACAGAAGTGATCAGGGTGATCTCCTTCACTTCGAGCCTGTGCTGATCTCACCCCTTCCTCACCACAGGCGTTGTGCCTTGGCTGGTTACAGGAATCTGGGTGTCATCATAGAATCATTTAGTTGGAAAATCCAAGATCACGGAGTCAAACCATTAACCCAGCACTTCCCATTCCTGAGCATCTCCGGAATGCCCAGTGGTGCTGTGGAGCAGGACAGGAGCTGTGGTGGGGGGATACCCTGCCAAGAACGCTGTCTCTGTCTCTGTGGAGAGAAGGCTCCGAGGGTCCATGGCAGGAACCTGGGCACGGGAACCGCGTCCCCAGCGGCATCTGCCCAGCTCTGAGCGCAGGGGAGCGGTGCTGCAGCCGGAGTGACTGGGCAGCAGCCTTGCGCTGGAAGAGCTGCCCTGAAGAAAGTCATGGAAAACAATAGGAATTGTTCTCTGCCTTTGTTCCCTTTCCTTGCCGGATGTCGGAGGAGATGGAGCCGCGCTCGGCTGCCGGCGGGTGGGCAGAGCGAGCGTGGCTGCTGGCGCTCCCGCCTTGGCACCCAGGCAGCCCCCCCAGCTCCTCCAGAGCCGGAATCGTCGCTCGGAGAATAACCAAAGATTGACATTGGCATACAAGCGAGCGATAAATGTGTCCAGAGAGTCTCTGTGTCTTTGGGCAGGAGGTTTTTAGAGCACAGCGATGCTGAAGCTGCTGTTTGCTGCAGGGGCCTCAGCCCATGGGCTCAGCCCAGATTTGCTGCTAGCGCTGGGGTGGGGCTCCTGGCACCCACACTTTCCCGGGGCGGGCGGTGTGAGGTGGACTTGTGGCAGAGAAGTTGCTGACTGGTCCCTAAGCTGGGAGCCATGGGATCATTTCAGTCCAACCAG